GCTGGGGACCATCTCCAGCAGACCAGGGACACCGGGAGCAAAGGAGGCGGAGGGGCGCTGGGGTATAAGATGAAACCCTATCTTTTAATTAAAAAGATGGGGGTCGTCTTATACGCCCAGTCGCCCTATACGCCGGAAAATACGGTATGTTTTATTCAATAATATAATCTTATTAATACTGTATAAACCACATTTTAGTACTGTGAAGTCTGTACTTTGCAATATGGGGATTGTATATCAATTCAGAAAATAAAAAAATGACCAATATCTATTTTTTAAATTACAGAACAAATCTACATAATAGAAATACAAGATGAACAAGAACTACTATTCACCTAACGCACCCCAATGCAGGATTGTTCATTAAGAGTACCTTTTCTAGTGCTCTGAATAGTCTACTTTCCATGTACCAAAAGTGGTGCAATTTTATCATTATCTTTGAGATCTCAATACCATAGAATACTAGAACTGGAAGGGACATTGCAAGGTCATCAAGTTCAGTCCCCTACTCTTATGGCAGAGCCAAGCACCATCTAGAATAGATCATCTCTGATAGATGTCCCTCCGACCTGCTTTTAAATAAATAATAATATCAGGAAGTTTCTCTTGGCATTAAATGTCAGTTCTCCTTTTCCTAATTGCTTCACAGAACTCTCAATAGTATTTTGCCACTGCAAATCATTCCTTTCCAACTTTGGCATTTATAATTACTTATCAAAAATTCTGTAGTGAAATATAAGATTCATCCTTGATAACTGGTGACCTGCCATACCTGCACTTCTGTAGCTCAGGTCCCCAAGGATTTTGTCTCCCACTTTCCTCAGTTTCCAGTGCTGTCTCAATCTCAAGAGCTCAGAGTTGAAATCTCGTTGTCGCTTATTTTCCTGGTTTTCTGCAACCGATTTGGATAACCTTTCTGCTCCTTTCAACAGGATTTGGGCTGCTCCAGCTAGTGATTTCTTCTTTGAAATTAACTGTAAAGTTTGAGGGTTCTGGAAATAGGAAAATAAATTCCAGTTTTACACTGTTTCAAAATATATGTTTAATTTTTAAACAAATCTTCTGAGTTATAATTATTGGAAATGGATAGTGACTAAAAATCATCAGCTGAGCTAGTCAGTAACTTAATTTGAAATTAGTTTCATCTGCAGTTATCACGTTACTGTGACTGGCGCACCTGTTAGCTGCCTCAAGCAGACACATCATTGAAACTGATGTTCTCTCCCCTAGAAATAGTCCTTCCAGTTAAAAGACAAGATACTGTGGCAGGACAGCATGAGGAGGCTTGCCCAAGGCTATCCCTGTTTTGTGGCTATGTAAGAAGTTTAATAGGATCTTCCATATTAAATTATTGGTAGATATTTATCAATAAGGTTTGTACCTGCTTTGGGGGAAGTGGATCCTGCACAACTGGATCCAGAGTCATGAATTTTTTATCCTTGACAATGCTGAGAACATCATAGAGCACACACATCTCAGTCAAGGCACTTCTTAAGTTGTTCCTCACTGAATCCCAAGGCCAAAGGGATGGTTGAAACTTTACCAACCCTAAAGCACAAAAACAAAACAAAGGTTTATAGGAGCATTTAGCATATCGAGTGTTTATACTAGACTGGTCCTTAACCTGAAGGCAAAGCATAAACAGTCTGGAAATAATCTGAAAGTGTGCATATAAAATTTATATTTTATGTATGTAGGTCTGAGTATGTTAAATGTTCTCTGTGCCAAAGCCAGAAAAAATAAGAGTCTGTTATAGCCCCAGCAAAAGAGATATAGCTCTTCAGTTCCAGCAGCAGCAGCACATGCTTTTTATTTTGGGGTCTGCAGTGACCAAGCCAAGTCATTTAAGTGGGAGCTTGTTCAAGATCTGAACTGCTTCAAATGCATGGATCAGGTTACACGCTATCAGCCGGCTCGTAGAGACTACGGCAATGACAGGTCACCCAAGCTCGGGTTTTAAGCACCGTGATGGTTTTCTCAGCTACTGAGGGAGGCTACAACGGGGCGGGGGCTGGAACATGGCCCCCCAACCTGGTTAAGTGATTTCAGGCGGCCCCCTCGCTAAGGGTCGAACTAGCGCGATGCTCAGCGGGGGCGGCCGCTGGGATCTGGCGCTGCCTCCCTGGAGGCTGGGTCCCAGGAGGGGGCGGT